CTGGAGGAGGTGCAGTTCAGGTCGTGGTGCAGACCGGCCTTCGTGCGGTCTTCGGGCTGTCTGCGGAAGATCAGCGGAAGACCCGGCTGGGGCATCGCCCTCAGGACACTTAGGGAGTTTCTCAGAGGGATGCCCAATGGCACACTGGAGCCGCTGGAGAGCATCGAGGAAGTGGAGTTGCCTGAGGATGAATTTGATTGCGATGTGAGTCGGGGGTGGGCGGGTGGATGAAAGCGCAAAGGTGCCCATTCATTTTTGCTTTCAGGAGCTTCGCGGGATTCTGATGAAGGGCGGCTGTCGGTCACTGAAGTGTCTGGAGTTTCGTGTCCCACAGCAAGCGAGATCACATGACCCCGACGAGGCAGCCCGTCCCCACTGGTACCCGCTGATGCTCCACATCCTGCAGGAGCTCGACGGCCTCAGATCCCAGCTGCCCGCTCGCAAGATCACGGCGCCCAACTGCACCATCGACCTGACCTTCCCGGCCGACGGCATCAGCATCGAACTCGGCCCTGCCCACGCCCTCGTCAGCTCAGCGCCATCTCGCCCTTCGTCATCGGCAAGATGGGCCAGATCGCCAGGGCCATCACGCTCATCAAGTGGGAGCCTACCACACCCAGACCGTGGGAGGATACTGACGGCCAGCACAGCGGCACCACCGACCCGGCCGCCTTTGCCGATATGCACCGATTCCCACACGTCAAGGAGCTGCAGATCAAATCTGGCAGCATCGACCTCTCCCAGCACCCTCCCACCTCCCCTGTGTGGTCTGCGCTGCAGCTGCTCCCACAGGACGCCTTCCCAGAGGGCATGCTGCTGACAGCGGAGGGGCCAGTCGGTTGTGAGGCAGCTCGGCAGCTGGCATTCACTGGCAGGCTCGCCGGCAAGGTGGCGTCTCTGGCTCTCTGCAGCTTGAGCAGCGGTGACAGCAGTATGGCGGCCGAGGGTGATGTGGTGGGTGTGCTGGAGGCGATGGGGAGCGGGGAGCAGCTACAGGAGGCGTGCTTGTCGGCGATAGATGGGGAGGTCCTGCGTCACCGTCTGGACGAGAGTGCAGACTGGATTCCCGCCATCCAGCATCTTGATGTGGGGAGTATCTACTTAGGTATGTAGCACAGGCAGTTGAACACTGAATCGAGGCACAATGTAACGCATGGCATTCCGTCCCTCTGTCAGGCCTCTCGCCATCCGTGCTCCAGGCTTTGAGGGAGTACCCGACTACTGATTATGTGTTGAATGCATCAAAGGCCAAACGAACGATCGACGGCTTGTGATGACTCATGAATGAATGAATGAATGACGACTTGTGGTGACCGCACGAGAGATTTGAATGAAACGTACAGGTCCACAAACACATATGAGCGATAGACCGCAACGGAATCACAAATCCCAAATCACACAAAACACAGGATCTAACTGCCAACCAAGCCGCCCACGCACACCCTCATATTATCCTGACGGTGGCACGTCCTCGCCGCCGCCATTCCACCCCACTAATTCCGTCGATTGCTCCTTTGCAGCAGCCCTCACCTACAACCAGACACAGACACAGATGCTCGAATGAAGGCACCCTCTGCTGACATTGCCCAGCTGCCGTGGTGCTGACCTTCATGGCGAGAAGCTCGAGCAGCCCCCATCCCCCGCTCATTTTGTCGAAGTCGATGTGTGACGGCGGGTCCTCCTCGGGCAGCAGCAGGGTGTGCACTGGCTTGACGACAGGCAGACAGACAGACAGACAAACAGACAACAGACAAACAGACAAACAGACAAACAGACAAAGAGACAGACAGACAGACAGACATACAGACAAACAGACTGACTGAATGCGTGGCCATACAACCCCATGCCCACACTCACACGGACAGGGCAAAACGGATGGCTGGCTGTCTTCTCGGCTCTGCACAAGGGACGTGGCAGCGTCAATGGACACTCGCAATGGCTGACATTGCCAGCAGATGATCACTGAGCTGTGTCGACAGACACAGAGAAATAACATCACGCCGCAAACACACACATGCAGAGAACAGACGTACACAGACACCGAGCAGAGAACACACGAAACAGATGACAAGCCGAGCCATCCAGCGGCCACACACTAATGTGAGAGTGCCATTTGTGTGGGGAAACCTGACACTAGTGTCCCCTGCCTGCCTGCCGGCCTGCCTGCAAGTGCCATGCGAAGTCCCACACGTGTTGACAGCGGGCAGGCATGCAGGCACGGCCGTCCGTATCCATCCAGCTGGGCCCCATCGGCCGACTCGACTCACTGTCAGCCAGCGGACCGCATGAGCGAATGACTGACTGTACACTTGCACCTACACGCAGTGCAGTGGAGGGAGGGAGGGAGGGAGGGAGGGATGGGTGGTCATCGCGGAACCACCCATCCGCAGCTGCTCGGCGGGCCAAAAACGAAACCTGACGGTGGCAAAGGGCCGACAAGCGCACAGTCTGTGGGCACACAGAGAGTGCAGGATGGACACACGCCTGCCTATGAGCAGGTGGCAAGCACCGAGTGAGTGAGTGCGCTGGACGGCCGCAAAAACCACCACAAAGCAATGGCCGTCCCTGTGTGTGTATGGTGTGGCGGTGCGTGTGTACGATGGTCGGTGGCGGTCAGTGAGTGAGTGCTGTCTGTCTCTCTGCAAGTCAGTCATCAGTGTAAGGTGGACTGATCGATCAGCAGGCCAGCCAACAACACAATCAACATGCACAGGTACTGTACAAGTAAGTGGGCAGCCAGGTGTGTGTCGTGTGTGTCGTGTCTGTGTGTGTGCAGAGACCGACAGGCTCTCAGTCAGCAGCCGTCCGTCGGTCCATAGAAAAGAAGCGCACACAGTCAGTGTCCTGTACGCCATTACATACTCGAGAAAATCCATCCATCGATCCAGCGTGAATGTCCATGCCAGCCACAGTCAGTCGACCACTCACTCAGTCAGTTAGTCGGGGGGACACAAAAATACACACACACACACACTGTACACAATCACACACACACACACAGCACCCCCTCTCCAGCCCAGACACTCGTCATGGCAGGCCATCCTGGGTGGGATACACCACGCCAGCCCACAGCTTCACCAGCAACACCAGCATCCGTACCGCCCGCTCCGCCATCGCCACCGTGCGCTCGTATGGGCTGGGGCTGACGATGGTCTCTGCCAGGATGGTCTTGGCGGCAATGTCGAGCGTGAAACTGTCGCCCTTCTTGCTGTGGAGCGCCTCGACGGCGGCCCTCTCGGCGGGGGTGGGCTGCAGGCTGGCCGATGGCTGCTCCGCACGCAGTGGGCCAAAGACGGCCTCCCTGACGTCGTCCTCGACCCAGTGGTACCGCGAGAGGTTGCGGTTGACAGCAGACTTGACCCACTTGTACTCCTCAGGCTCGTCGTCGTGCTCCCCCTGGCCCTCCCCTTGCCCCGCTCCAACCTCCTCACCCGAGTCAGGCTCGTCCTCTTGCTCTTGCTCTCCCTCCTGGCCCTCCCATTGGCCCCCTCCGTCGGCGTCCTCCATCTGCCGCGGCCCAACGTCGCATGCGTCGGCGACGATGCTGGCGAGCTGCACGGCGCGCATGTGCCACTTGCCGGGTGTCCACTCGTCGTCGCTCGCGTCCCCGAGCTCCTGGTAGGTCTTCATCATCGCCTTCATGATGAAGAATTTCATCATCGCCTTCATGATGAAGAATGGCGGCTTGAGGTCGTGGGCGGTGCAATCGGACGACAGGGAGAGCATGGAGAGCGCTGTGGCTCCCATGCTCCAGTAGTCGTCCGATGGCTGCCACCCGGGGTAGTCGAGGTAGCGCTGCGCCCACTGCCCCACAGACGGAGGAGCCTGGCCGGGGGGCGACAGCTGGTCGACGTAGGCCGTCTGGGGGTTGTCGGCGGCTCCGCCGCTCCCGTGGCGGCCATAGGACAGGTCGTTGAGGACGGCCTGCTCCATGGGCGAGGCAGAGGGCTTGCAGCCGCCCGTGACAATGTTGCCCCTCTTCTTGCCGGCTGCATCGATGCG